AGGTAACTCTAAGACCAGAAGGTCCCGAAGAAATGTGCTCAACTTTTTGGCTCAGCTCTGGTACTATCTTCGGTCCCAAGCTAATCGATTCACCCCTCGAAACATAGGAAAATCCACTAACCCCTCATTTTATCTGTCAAACTTTCATAGCGAATCAAAACAAACATTGAGTAGTACTAGAATTTCGACTAGAATGGGGTAAGTTAATCGTTTGCTTGGTACCAATAGGCTAGTCAAGTAGTGAGCCAATTTAAAATCGTTAGTTTCGTATTGATTGTTGGTACAACCATACACACTTAGTTTATTTCACCGAGGCCGGTAAAATAAATTGCCGAGAAACCAACAGCCGAAATTTCGTTAAAAATTTCGGTAAAAGTATACACTCAAAGAAAATCATTTATTTTCTTCATAAGAATAGACTTATACTTCTCATTACCTTATACTAAATGTTATTCATTATTTCACTCACATTAAATTCATGAAGGCACACATAGTAACCAAGAGATATTTTAATGAAAAGCATTAATCATGCGTTATGACTAAAAACTATAAATATTCACTTATACTTTTTACATAGCACTGCTTTGAAAAATAACAGTTGTTTTTGACTGAATCGGAAAAGATGTCAGCTACGTGAGTAGAAAATTTACAGCTTATATAATAATCATCATTCCATTAATCTATTTTAAATCATCAACGCAGAGATACTCGGTACGACAGGTGCTCTCGGTATGCAGAAGGATCAACGGCATGAGGACAATTTCGGATCCCAATCATAAAGCAGTGAGAAATTCATCTTCAGTTGTACACTATACTTTCCAGATCCATGCTCGGAAGCTCGGGGATGTAAATAATTCGGGTTCCAGTATGCACGATGCACGAGATGATGCATGAAGTTTATACCACTCATATATCTATCATTATTCATAAGAAAATCTATTCACACCAATTCGTTTTTATGCTTTTTTCTAATGAAATATAAAAGTAAACAATATTGAAAAGGGACTTCATCAATACTATATCGAATTCAATGATTCTTATGCTTCAAAGTTCATAAAATGTATTAATCAGCCTTATACTTTTCATTTAAGCACGATTCATTGCATCCATAAGACTTATACATATGTTTAATTACTTATCCTTATACTTTTTATGAGCGGATGGCAATGGCAAAAATCTATGTGGTTTGCTTAATACATTCAATATGAATAATTCTTTTCGTGTAGGATACCGAACGCTTGGTAATTATCAGTTTTATTCAACTGTCAAATTTTACCGAAAACATCGGTACTTGTATGCCGAGCGTTCAGCTTTTATTTTACCGAAATACCTCAAAACAAGAATAAATCTTTTACCAATCCTTCGGCAAACCGTGCATGGACATATTTAGCTTTTGCCGACTATCGTTGAAATTTCCACTCAAATTAATTGGATTATTCAGAATAGCAATAATAATAATACAAAATTAGTGAGAATTCCGTAAACAAGTCTTTATTCAAGTTATTCTCACAATGACACATTCTTTCTCACTCTTCCACTCACCCATCAGCGTGCCCCGAGACTAGTTGTTTGAAGAAAAGGCAGCATAAGCCATCTCCTATCTGTATAAATCTGTAAATCTGAAAACAAATAAAGATTTATTACTTACAGAATAGTTGACGCAGCACCACCTTCACCATCGATTTGCCGCAATATTTCCTCCATTTTACACTTCATTGAATCACACGCAACACTTAAAGCAACGCAACAGACGACTTACTCTCTGCCAAAATGGCTGACAATAAATGTGCACAACTGACAGATACTTGCTCTTATTTTCAATTGCCGAGGTTCGTCACTTTTTATTACCGAAGTCGGTGAAGCAAGATTTTAACGAAATTCATGGTAAACCATTACCGAATTTCAGTAAATACTTTCGTATAACCAAAAATCGTTAATTGTATATACCGATATTCAGTAAAAACATGTTTTCTAACGATAAATCAGCAAAAATCGCGTTTTACCGATTAAGTTCAGCAATCAATTTAACCGAGATAAAAATATAAAATTAAGTGTGTACACTGATAAAATTTCAAAGATTGTTTTTATGTGTCCCACACATGAATTTTTGCAATGTGATCAACAAATAATATCTATGTGTCGGGCACATACCTAGGCACATACTTAATATGTGTACACATAAAAGCCATGTGTAACCACAAATACTATTCATTTGACTCATAAATTTCATATGTGCTTCTATGTGGATTCTATTTATGTGTGGTCACATGAAAATCATGTGGAATTTTACATGGAAATTCGCCAATAAAAATGTGTGGAATTCTATTAGTGTAGAGGTAACTTTAAGACCAGAAGGTCCCGAAGAAACGAGCTCAATTTTTTGGCTCAGCTCTGGTACTATCTTCGGTCCAAAGCTAATCAATGCACCCCTCGAAACATAGGAAAATCCACGAACTCCTCATTTTATCTGTCAAACTTTCATAGCGAATCAAAACAAACATAGTGTAGTACTGGAATTTATACTAGAATAAGGTACGTTAAACGATTTGCTTGGGACCAATAGGCTACCCTAATAAAATTCGTATGGTTATTTTGCTTAACGACGTGTTTGGGGTATCATCCAAACCATTTGTAAAAAAGTTCGACAATTTGGGTTATCGTTCGTTAATGGTATTTCCACAGACAAACAGACATAACACATTGAATATTTCTCACTGTAAAACATCGTCACTAAAACATTACCGCCATCTGTTGAGTACACTGTGGTGGGTAGTACGCTTACGTCAAACGCAAGGGAATTGACATGCGCGCCACAAGTGGCGGTACTACCAACAACGATACTTTCAAATTGACCGTTAAATGCTTGTTCGATGAACAACTTGCGAGTGTTATGTCTGTTTGTCTGTGGTATTTCTTTAATAGGGTAGTCAAGTAGTGAGCCAATTTAAAATCGTTAGTTTCCCTGATAAAAATTACCATAAAAGAGAGCTTAATACCCCGTTCACATTACAGCCTATATCACGTAATATAGGCTGTCTTGCAATGAGCACTCATACATAGGATTTCCAGTGAAAACTAGATGTATGAGTGCTGATTGCAAGACACCGTATATCACGTGATATACGCTGTAATGTGAACGGGGTATAACCATAGAGGTAACTCTAAGACCACTTTGTCCCGAAGAAAATCATTATTATTTTTGGCTCACTCAGTACCAGAACAACGGTCCCAAGCAGTCCCAAGCTATTTCACTCACCCCTGCATGTTCTGCATGAATCCACACACCCCTGATGTTATCTGTCAAACTTTCATAGCGAATCAAAACAAACATAGTGTAGTAATAGAATTTCAACTAGAATAGGGTACGTTAATCGTTTGCTTGGGACCAATAGGCTACTAAAGTGGTGAGCCAATTTAAAATCGTTAGTTTCGTATTGATTGTTGGTATAACGACGTGTTTGGGGTATCATCCAAATTATTTGTGGGATAGTTTACCCATCCGGGATACAGTTCGTTTATGGTATTTGTTTATTAGGGTTCGTATTGATTGTTGGTACAACTATAGAGGTAACTCTAAGACTAGAAGGTCCCGAAATAACGTGCTCAACTTTTTGGCTCAGCTCTGGTACTCTCTTCGGTCCCAAGCTAATCGATTCACCCCTCGAAACATAGGAAAAACCAATAGAGATTTTCACGTCCGATTGTATTGGTGCAATATGTGAGAGCGTGTTAGTGAATATCCGAGGAAAATACATAACAAATCGATGTCAAACTCATTTTGACAGATCTACTTTCATACATTTTTTAGGTTAGCCCTCGGGTTAGCCAGAGGAAAATAATAAACAACTTTACACGGCGTTGCTCCCGCTAGTGTGCGTGCGTTAAACGTCACTAATCTCTATAACCCCTCATTTTATCTGTCAAACTTTTATAGCGAATCAATTTGGAGTTCGTGACAGCAGCCGTCTGGCTGCATTTGACGTTCCATTTTTCTCTCTTCGCGACTCTCTCTCAGGTCAAGTAGTGAGCCAATTGAAAATCGTTAGTTTCGTATTGATTGTTGGTATTACCCATGAATGGGTAAGTCACGAATCACCGTGCATAATATGACTTAAGGCCCACGCATATTAGATCCGGATCGGACGCGTTGCGGCAAAGTGACAGCTATTGTCTAACTGTCAAATTTACGTCAACGCAACGCAAACGGATCTAATGTGCGTGGCCCTTTAGGAGTCCGAGTTAAGCGTGTAGCCTCGTTGACGCCCAACACGGTGTTTCGTGAAAACTCATTAATGGGTATAAAAATACCCATTTTCGAACCATGTATGCAGCTGTCAAAAAATGGAGGAATTTTGAGATCATAAAATGGATGAAAAAATACCCATTTAAAGAATCGTTCACGGTTGAATAATGGGTATATTTTATACCCACTAATGGATGGAAAAACACTTCGAAATTTCATCGTCTCATTTCCGTCACCGATTCATTGGGAATGCAAAAAGTTACAGTCCACAGCATATTTAGCGAAAATAGACGATCTCCGGAAAATGTTAGAATCCGAAACGTTGGAGAGCTCTAGCCTAGGCATACGGATAAGTCAATACAAAGTATCCAATATGGTATTATAATATTTCGTGTAAAATTTGAGCGGAACACCTGCATTTATTTTCAATGTATTAGAAAGTTTTTTACATCAACGAGGGCTTGCATCCTCCATTTGTAAAAATGGGTATTTTTTCACCCATTTTACGGTAAACGCAATTTAAGAAAATGGGTGAAAAAACACCCATTTATTGACAGACCACCCATTTACCCATTTATGAGTAAACCATAGTTTATCCATTACATGAGGAGGGGCACTTTTAGCGGAAATGGGTATTTTTATACCCATTAATGGGTTTTCGCGAAACACCGTGAAGGTGACAGCATATTCCCGCAAAGGAAGTGAAGCACGTTTGTTATGATGTGTCTTTTCTGGGGTAAACATTCAAAACGTTCACACGTGCGTGGTGCTTCATGTGAGTTTATTTTCGTGGATTAAAATTAAATTTTCCTACGTAAACTTAAGTTGGAAAATGATCGCTAAAGTCAAAATGGTCAAAAAACCCCAAGGTATGTTAAATTCATAAAATCCGTTGAATGAACTGGTGTTGTAAATTGTTCCGTTGTTGGCAATATTTTTAGCACTAGCACCAGAGCCAGACACCGACAGTGCCAGTGAACTATCCGACAACGATGTCGACGATCATCACATGTCCGATGAGGAGTTTCCAATGTCCGACGATGAACAGGATCAGGATGATGACGAGCAAGAGGAGGAGGATGAAGGACCTTCTAAATGGGCATTGACTATGGCCAAGTATATCAGGAAGACGAGTGATGCACATATTCTATCGAAGGCTGTAAAGGATGTCGATCTGGAGAAGACTCGGAAGGAATCAAAACCAACATACAAATTTGAGGTTGTCGGTGAACAGAAACCGGACGAAGCAGAGGCCGGAGATCAAAAAGATGATAAACCTGGCGATTTGGAAATGGCGAATGAGCTGCTTCGACAAAGGGCGCTGCTGAAGAAAGAACGACAGAAGGATATCCTGGGTCTACGAATAAAACCATCGATAGGGCAGTACGAGAGGGAGAAAGCATTGAAGAAAATTGCAACTAGGGGTACAGTCCAGTTGTTCAACGCCGTTCGGCAACAGCAACGAGATGTGAACAAGAAACTTGACGACGCAGGAAAGTTGGAGTACAAGCGAGAAAAGGTGTTGAAAAATTTAAGCAAGAAGGAATTCCTAAATGTTCTCATGAGTGGACCCAGAGCCAAGTCGGAGCTGGTGGACAATCTGGTCAAGAAGGAAGAATTAAAGGATGAAATCAAATCCGAGGAGGATTCCGACGATGACGATGAACCCGAGTCGACGTGGGGAGCATTGAGAGCCGATTTCCTAACAGGTAAGAAATCTGGTTGGGATAAAGAAGACAATGATAAGGCAGAAAGTTTTGGTGAGGGTAATGGGGGTGCAAGTTCAGATTCGGATTAAATAAGATAAGTTTTCTCTTACGAAATGTGTCAGCTTACTTAGTTGCAAACCGAAACTCCGTAAATCAATCTTATTATTTGGGTAAGTAGTTATTAGTATGTTTTCCTATTTTAAGATACTCTAAGAATGTCATTATTTGTACCTAACACATTTAGTTTTATCGAATCAATTACATTCTACTTGATATTCAATGTATATGTTCCGCTGGCTTGTGGGATGTGAACAGGTGCTGTAGGGTAAATAGTGACTGGCAGATTCCAAATCATGGTTTCAATAGAAATGTCCGTTGGTGCTTGCCACTCCAGAGTATCCTTGTTGATTTCCATATTCAGCTCCTCGTTTGTACTTGTAACAAACTGGAAATGCAGACGCCACCTCACATCGACCAGGTCAGTATCAAAAGTTGGCGTAACATGCAGTGGAATCGGAATAATCATCTGAGTTTGCAACAAGCCAAGGCATACCTCATGATGCTTTGTATAGTTCGTTATTCGCCCGGCAGGCGTTAGTACATTATCTTTCTCTTGGTTAGGTGCATTGGAATGTTCTACGGTTTTCTTTTTGACAATTTCCTCGCATTGCAACGTAACCGACAGTTGCGCACATTTCACAGTTCCACAGCTAAAATCTAGCGTACCTACAATGTCTTCCCCGAGCTTGTAGATTGGTTTAAAAATACAAAAGCGTCCGACTTTACCCCTCTTGTTCGAAATCAAATAGAAGTTGGGCCTTCTGCGTGCAGTGATGTTCTGCAGATAATGTAACGCGTATTCAATCTTCGATGGTGCTTTCTTCTTTTCTATAAAAGGATTATTTGGGGCCAAATCCTCGTTTGATTCGTCGTTCAAAGTAATTGTCTCGTCACTACAGTTGATGGGCGGGAGTGGAAGTACTCGAATTGGAATATGCAACGCCTGCACTGTGGAACCAACGCGTTGGGTGGCTACCGTTATTTTGTAATAATACTTCACCATTACGCCTCGATACGTTGGTGGAGTATTCATTGATAACGTTTCACGGAACATGACTGAAATAGTGTAAAATTTTTAAAAAAACATATTGAAATCAACAATTTACTCCACAACATACATTGCCTTGATTCACCTGGTGACAATCGTAAGTCGCAAAACAGAATTTTCGGCACAGTGGACTTCAATACCTCTCCCTTGAGTTGATTGCTGGCATTCAGGGATGTTGAGCCACTAACATTTTTGTGAATGGGATTCGCCGTTTCCAGGCCGGATACGCCACGGTCTTGGATAGTGGAATTGCAATAGCAATGTATCTGAACCGTTGCCCATGCTAGGTTTTCCAGTATATCACTGTAATACATTTATTATATGTCACTAATAGTTTGAAGTGGAAATTTAGCTTCGATTCTAAAGCAATACCTGTTACTTTGACTAATTCTATGTTCTGGTAGCGAAGGATTCGTGAAGGTTATCAAACACTCGACTGTTTCTCCGCACAGGAAAACTGCACTTTGATCACGTATTAGCCAAGCCGTTATTTCTATCATTTTATCAAAAAATTAATGTTTTCCAAAATTTGATATCTAAAGTTAGTGAAAATATTTTCGTTTGTTTTGATGACACGTCGCTCTGATGGTGTTCGGTTCGATAATCATCAGTTGTCATCATCAATGGATCACAGTTTTGATCTCACCACTACTGACAGCATGGCGCCACCTACTACACGGAGAATGAGAACACCCAAATTTGTGTTTAACTAACTCATGTTATAGTACGTTCAGACTACAGAGTTATAACAACAATCAATACGAAACTAACGATTTTAAATTGGCTCACCACTTTAGTAGCCTATTGGTCCCAAGCAAACGATTAACGTACCCTATTCTAGTTGAAATTCTATTACTACACTATGTTTGTTTTGATTCGCTATGAAAGTTTGACAGATAACATCAGGGGTGTGTGGATTGATGCAGAACATGCAGGGGTGAGTGAAATAGCTTGGGACCGTTGTTCTGGTACTGAGTGAGCCAAAAATAATAATGATTTTCTTCGGGACCCAGTGGTCTTAGAGTTACCTCTATGCGAGCCTCTATGGTAATACCATAGAGGTAACCTCGGAGGTAACTCTAAGACTAGAAGGTCCCGAAATAATGTGCTCAACTTTTTGGCTCAGCTCTGGTACTCTCTTCGGTCCCAAGCTAATCGATTCACCCCTCGAAACATAGAAAAAACCAATAACCCCTCATTTTATCTGTCAAACTTTCATAGCGAATCAAAACAAACATTGCGTAGTACTAGAATTTCGACTAGAATGCGATACGTTAATCGTTTGCTTGGGACCAATAGGCTAGTCAAGTAGTGAGCCAATTTAAAATCGTTAGTTTCGTATTGATTGTTGGTAATACCAACAATCAATACGAAACTAACGATTTTAAATTGGCTCACTACTTGACTAGCCTATTGGTCCCAAGCAAATCGATTACGTCCCCCATTCTAGTCAAAATTCTAGTACTACACTATGTTTGTTTTGAGTCGCTATGAAAGTTTGACAGATAAAATGAGGGGTTCGTGGATTTTCCTATGTTTCGAGGGGTGCATCGATTAGATTGGGACCGAACATAGTACCAGAGCTGAGCCAAAAAGTTGAGCTCGTTTCTTCGGGACCTTCAGGTCTTAGAGTTACCTCTATGGTAATACCACAAACGAAGTGACAGACGGAGCGGTTCGAAAACTTTGGTGACTAATCTGCTATTTCAATTTTTCAGTGTACCACATGGCAACACCACTACTACTGGATTGTACCACATGGCAACACTTCTACCAGGGGGTGGAAACTAACGATTTTAAGTTGGCTCACCACTTTAGTAGCCTATTGGTCCCAAGCAAACGATTAACGTACCCTATTCTAGTTGAAATTCTATTACTACACTATGTTTGTTTTGATTCGCTATGAAAGTTTGACAGATAACATCAGGGGTGTGTGGATTCATGCAGAACATGCAGGGGTGAGTGAAATAGCTTGGGACTGCTTGGGACCGTTGTTCTGGTACTTAGTGAGCCAAAAATAATAATGATTTTCTTCGGGACCCAGTGGTCTTAGAGTTAGCTCTATGCTTCTACTGGATTGTACTAGCATTTTCACCAAATGTATTAGAATGTTTTGGTTCTATCTCTTTCACTCTACTCAAAACTGAAATGCATAAAAAAAATGACAAAATGATACACTCTTTGCACTCTGTCAAAGAATCATTGTACACAAAATCAACTATGTTCAAATCAAAACAAAAAAACTAACCCATCTGGTGGATGATGGCACAAGCTTCCTAGAAAATTCTATTACAGTGAACCACATTATTTTAATGGATTTCTTCGCCAGTAAGTCGTCTGTCACTTCGTTTGTGGTAATACCAACAATCAATACGAAACTAACGATTTTAAATTGGCTCACTACTTGACTAGCCTTTTGGTCCCAAGCAAATCGATTAACGTACCCAATTCTAGTCAAAATTCTACTACTACACAATGTTTGTTTTGATTCGCTATGAAAGTTTGACAGATAAAATGAGGGGTTATTGAATTTTCCTATGTTTCGAGGGGTGAATGGATTAGCTTGGGACCGAAGATAGTACCAGAGCTGAGCCAAAAAGTTGAGCACGTTTCTTCGGGACCTTCTGGTCTTAGAGTTACCTCTATGCTATAACATCGTTGAAAATTGTTTCAATGATATATGAAGAACAATCATGTAAGATGTATTTTATTGGGAGCGATATTCATCCCAGAAAAACATGCCAAAACAAATGTTTGCTGTTGGATTTCTTAAAAGGCAAATCTATATGAATTTTCTCATAGTGCAAACAAACAAAAAAATAAACGTTAATAGAATTAAAAAAACCGTTGGTAGAATTAAAAGTTTGCATTGCTTCTTTTTGGTAGAAAGTCAGAAACTTTCAAATGCAAAAGACATGAACAGTTAAAATAAAAATGCTGAATCCTTTGATTTTAAAAGTCACAACTTTTATGATTAAATTTTATAAATGTCAAATTAAAAGTTTCTACTTTTGAAATGAAATTGTAACGGCGCCGGTGGTGTAGTGGTAAGTGTGATTACCTCTCACCCCAGAAGGACTGGGTTCAATCCCAGTTGGCGCCGTCGGGATGTTTTGAGGCATAACATCTCTGATCACGCCTTCCTTCGGAAGGGAAGTAAAGCCGTTGGTCCCCGGTTCATGAGTTGATGGGTCGATAGGTAGGGTCCAGGTGTGGGAGCTGCCTTCCTGGCACGTCGGTAGCATTGGTGCTCAGCACGGAAAACAAGATCGACGGAAAAAACAAACCAAAGGAACAAAAAGAAATGAAATTGTAGAACTGTCAAATTAAGAGTAGGTTAGGTCAAAATAAATTTTATCTTATTTCAAAATGAGAGCGTAGTTATTATTTTTTTTTTTCTTTGGTTTGTTTTTTCCGTCGATCTTGTTTTCCGTGCTGAGCACCAATGCTACCGACGTGCCAGGAAGGCAGCTCCCACACCTGGACCCTACCTATCGACCCATCAACTCATGAACCGGGGACCAACGGCTTTACTTCCCATCCGAAGGAAGGCGTGATCAGAGATGTTATGCCTCAGAACATCCCGGCGGCGCCGAATGGGATTGAACCCAGGCCTGCTGGGGTGAGAGGTAATCACGCTTACCACTACACAACCGGCGCCGTTAAGAGCGTAGTTAAGCAAATAAAATTTTATTTGTTTTTAAACATAAAGTTCATTGTTTTGATTTTTACGTATATATATTTTTTGAATGTAAAACTAACAAAAAAAAATTAAAAATATTGAATTGTGGAATTGTCCGCCATCCTCGTCAGCATCTGTTGAGCCGTCCATGCAATCCACTCCCCCTGCTTCAATCTTAAACTGTGGTGCTACTGTTTCAGCCATCTGGCTCAGAGTCCGGTGTGACCCAATCCGGAACGATGATCTTACTTTTGACTGATGCTGATGCAATTTCCGAAAAGAAAGCGATTCTATTATCGTAAAAAACTCTCTAGTCTGAACAAGGCATTATCGTAGATAAGCTTACCATATTCATCCTGTGGTATCGCCGTATTTTATTTATGTTTTCAGCCGGTCTAGCTCACGGATGATCCGGTGAATGCAACAGGGATTTGTTTTGAAAACTGGTCGAATAGAAATTAATAAAGCAAGCTTTTCAATTCTCGTTTTGCGCGTTTTTATTTTTATTTACTCACGTTATTCAAAAACTAACCAGAAACAAGTAGAAACCTACCCCCGAAGAAGTTGTTTTGACAGTAAAACAATTTTTGATTTGAAAATCTGCACTTTTAAAACTACAAGTTAAAATCAAAACATCTGCTTTTGGATTGAAAATAACCTTGTTGTTTCAAATATTTTCATAGTTCAAGTAACAAATTTTGGGGTACTTTTAAATTGAAAGGTTAATATTTTTACTGATACAACTTTCGTTTTTTGTGTGAACTTATATGACTTTCCATTAGTTTCTATATGTCTGTTCCCACCCATGACATATCAACAGTTTTTCACCATGAAATATATCAGACAATATTCATATACATCTTACCTATCGCTAACCACGTTCGAAGCGAGGTTCGAAGCAAAGTATTATCAACAATCAATACGAAACTAACGATTTTAAATTGGCTCACTACTTGACTAGCCTATTGGTCTCAAGCAAACGATTAACGTATCCCATTCTAGTCGAAATTCTAGTACTACACTATGTTTGTTTTGATTCGCTATGAAAGTTTGACAGATAAAATGAGGGGTTCGTGGATTTTCCTATGTTTCGAGTGGTGCATCGATTAGCTTGGGACCGAAGATACTACCAGAGCTGAGCCAAAAATTTGAGCACTTTATTTCGGGACCTTCTAGTCTTAGAGTTACCTCTATGGTATTATCAAATTATCAAGTACTAAGTATGTGAAATTACGATAGAAATCATTCCATATCGCAGTCATAGTTTTTAAGTGATAATCCACCCAACAAACAATTCACAGTCACAAATAAGCATACACATTGAATAATTGCTGTATAACAGTGTACAATGCTGAATAAAACAGGATGTCGAATTATGTGCTGGAAAAAGCTCATTGAGATCGATAGATGTGCCTTTATTCCGCCGTTTGCTCTGATATGATTAATTTACTTATTAAAAGCTTTATAAACGTTGACTGTCTTCATGATTATCATTATATCATCATTATAACAATATTACTGAATGAAGGTGAATTCAGTCAGCAGAATAGCTCTTATACCACTATGCGTCCATGTTTTAATTTCATGCTTTGTAAATGCTTTACAAACGGCGTATTCATTCATTATTCCACAACACTGCTTCAGGCTAACAACAAAACGAAATTGGTAGCATAGTGGTTACCGTTTCCGCTTTCCAAGTAGAAGGTCGCGAGTTCAATCCCAGCTTCAACCCTTTTTTTAAATTTATTTTCTACGCCTAATTAATTTAAATCGTAATCATAGATCGTATCACTCACGACAACCAATTCATAGATCTATCGAAAAGAATAGCATCCTTCCCATCGAAATTAGAGAGATGGAGAGGT